AATTTTTTAGTAATATAATTTTTAATTGACAAATCATCATTGTATGCATGTATGGGGTACAATGTGATGTTTTAGTTCATGCACAGAATGTGAAATGATTAAATCAAGCTAATTAACATATCACCTCAGTTATCAGTTTTCATAAGACAGTTGAAAGTTACTCTTAGCTATTTTGAAATATACATTAACTACAGCCACCCTACTGTGCAATAGAGCTCAAAAACTTATTTCTCCTAACTTAAACTTTGTACTCTTTGACCAACATCTCCCCATTTCCTTTAGATAGTCTTTAAAGTTCTTTCGTTTGCTGTAACAAAGGACTGCACTCAATAAATGTTTCAATGAGGGAAGGATTTCATTCTTAATGGGCAATCAGGTTTTTTTATGGTTTTCAAGAAAATTATTCTCTAGACTCTCTTGGCATAGTCTATTTCAAAATTTAATGATTCTTTTGAAAAGGAATTTAAAAATTCCATCTACTATGATGTACTATAACTTAAGCTCCTTTGCTCTGGTCATCAGTAGATAGAAAACATGTGGTTTTCTTTTACATAATGGCTTTATTATACTTTATGCTTATTGCCAATGTCACCATCATTTTATGTTAAATCTGCTTCCTTATGTTTTCCCTTAGTAACCTTAACATGCTTTCTTAATTATTTTATGCCTTCAGTTTTCAAAAACTTTAATCATGTCCTTCAGAAAACTCCCTACCAATCTGCCAAATCCATTGCAGAAGGAAACATACATTCCCCAAATATCCTCAAGCTCTTTGCAAATTGATGATTTTCATTACTTGGTTTTAAATTTTAGGTTTATATTTAGGCTATATAATTAGCCTACTCTATATTGTATTCGATAATTCAGTGTTTCTTTAGCATGGATACTGGTGCATAGGAGAAAGGAAGGGAGCAAAGAAGCAGACACAAACATCCCCAAATTCCTGTGGAGCTGAAAGTCTAGTCATGAAAATGGACGTTAGTCAAAGAATCATACAAGAGTCTAAATAGAACTGAGATACGCCCTATAAAAGAGAGATTCATGATGCTGTACTAGGGGGAATTAGTTGAGGAAGTCAGGGAATGCTTCCCTCAGAAAACAATGATTAATCTTCAGGTGTAGAGTTAACTAGTTGACACAACAGGGCAGGGCACATGGAAGATGGTAAGTGGGAAGGATAGTCTAGGGAACTGAATTTCTATGCATTAAAAATAAAAAAAAAATCATAGAATCTCTGAATGTTAAACCCCTTTTTGGTGAGCAAACAGACTCAGAGAGGTTAAATGAGTTACCCAAAATTCATAATGTGAGTTAATGAAGGACTCAAATGTCCTCATTTCTCATCCAGTAGTTTGTCTACTGTGCAGAGCTGCTTCCCCCTCCAACTTTGGTTCTTTGCATCAAGGGAAATATGCCAGGAAAGATACATTGAGCTAAGCACTAGCAAAAATAGTAATTCAATCATCAAAACATTAGTGAGCCATTATAACTAGATGGCTTTTGCCAGTAAGCAATACAGCAAGCTGCTCTTTTCTTACCTTCAGCAAGAACACAGAGAGGATAAATCAGCATCCATAGTGTTTGACTGAGCCACGTCAAGACAGCATAGGATATTCCTATGACTGATAACATGCTGTAAGTGTACCTGAAAGGAGACCAGAAGTTCTCAAACATCATTTGCTGCTAATGTCTGGGAAATAACCGGAGAGGAAACATAATACAGAGATAAAATTGGAAAGCGTGCAAATTACATACTTTATTTCCTATAATTTCAACAAGAGGTAAAAAATGGGAGGAAGGGGACCATGTCAGTCTAGCTTGTCTCATGGGTATATCATGGATAATTATAGAGCTGAATAGAGCAAGGACGTAACTCTTACCTACCCTCAAGAAATTAGTTACAAATTTCCTTGATTGGAGACTTGGATTTCATTAAAAAGCCAAGCCCATTTTATGCAGCAAGACAGCTAGGTTTTTAAAGACAGACATACTTCTAAATATCTCAGCAATGAATTTACAAATAAAAATGTAACTTCCACATCTTTATTTGGCATTCTTCTGCTTCTGTAGCTGTCCCATCTTATATGATCAATTAAAGAAATGGCCTCAGGAGGAGCTTGTTTGGGGTACAGTAGGTAGCTTTAAACCTACCATTGTGATGTAAGAAGTGGTCTACATCTTTTTTTATTCCTTTGAATAGGTCAGTGGTTCTGAGGCTTGAGCGTATATCAGAATCTCCCAGATGGCTTGTTAAAGCACACATTGCTGGGCCCCCACCCTGAGTTTCTGATTCAGTGGGTCTTGGGTAGAGCCTGAGAATTTGTATTACTAACAAGCTCCAGGTGATGCCAATGCCACTGGTCGCTGGCCACAGTCTGAGAACCACTGGTATAGGCAATACATACATATGGCAAAACAAAACCACCTAAAAAGTCTTGAAAACATGAATGAAGACAAGTAAATCTTTCTCTCATTCCAGGACCTGAATTCTACTCCTCAGAGACAAATGCCCAATGCTACTTTCTTAAGTATTCTTTCAGAAATATTTTTGCATATATGCATATCTATGTGTATATTTACTATATATGATTATACCAATTGTACAGGCCCTCACTAAACTTTTATCAAACTTTTTGATGTTTACCAATCTAAGTTAAAAATGGTATGCATTGGCCGGGCGCGGTGGCTCACGCCTGTAATCCTAGCACTCTGGGAGGCCGAGGC